AATGTCCCACGCAGATAGTTGGGAATGCACCTTATTCTTCTCAGTCGTGCTCCAATGATCTGCAGCGATCCACGGGATACCTGTTTTGGACCAAAGTACTACCTCCATACTGGAGTGTAGATTATTAATTTTTGGCTCTATTATGCACACACATTTCCTTGCAAATGTGTCTCTCCATAACTGAGCTCCAGGCTCACAGGGTGAGTTTTGAGGGATATTATATTTTATTTCCATTATTTCCCCTGTATCTCTCCAGAACTGACCCTCTTGCTTACAGGGCTGGAGTTGAGGAATATCATATCCCATTTCTGCTATTTCATAATACTGGGTTGCTTCATCTTGGGGTGTTAAGTCAAAAGCATAATCATAGTTTAATATGTTCACTTGAACAGTTTTAGTGTAGATTTTGCATTTGCAATCAGTACATTGCACAATATGGGTCTGATTCCATGCTTCCAATTCAGAACATTTATCATTTAATTTTACTTGGTTGGTGTTTACTTGTGTGCAATTATGCTTGGTACACCGCATGGTGGGTAATGTACCTGTATGTTTTCCTCCAATGCGGGTATGTACTGTCCAACCCATTAGTGGGTTCACTGAACAAAGCCATTGTACACTTCCCTGATTTTCGTGACTAAATAGCATAATTATTTGACTATGACATTCTACATAAGGTATATGTCCAGCATCTGTGAATTTCTTCCTTAAATTTGTTACAATAAGTTGTTCAAAGGTGCTGGATTCATGAAATTGTGTACAGGTAATGAACTGTAATCTAGCTTGGATTTTCCTCATGTTAGAATTAGTGATATTTTCATTCTGTTCAGTTAATGTTATGAAATTTTGCATTCTTTGTGTAATGTTTTTTGTAATGGTTACATGTGTAGTGGCAAATCCCAAAAGTGACATGAATTCAGGTTTTACTGTTTCTTCCCATTCTTTATCTTGATTTTGCTGTGCCCAGTCTGTCCAGACTGACCTACGCTTTCTTTGTGGTTGCGTGCAGTTAATGTTATATGTAATGCGCATGGCAGTACGGGAATATTCAGGAAATTTTAAATGCCAGGCTATTGTGCTTTGTTCTTGGTGCGGTGGATCCCTTATAATTAAGAGATAAGGTAATATCCCTTTTCTAGTATGTACTATAGTCCGACACCAAGTGCTAGTAGTAAGCCGGCCACTGTTCTGGACAGTGTTAGGTTTCCAGAAAAGTTTATTCCACTTACATTGGATGATACCATAGGGGTCTACTGTAGCATTTTCAAATAACCCTACTGGTATAATAGTTAATTTTACCCCAAATACACCTTTTTCTGGGTGTGTTCTCACAAAACCCCATGGTGTTGGATAATACTCAGTTTCATTTATCCCTGCTTCTGTTAATTTAATGCCATATGGATATGGTCCATTAATTATATCACGAGGATTTAATAATTTGGAGGGGTTCCATGGTCCTTCCCAAGGAATATTACATTTAAGGGAATAACCTGGTATTGTGAGATTCCATACATCAGCATTATATCCCAGAATCACGTTGGGTGGTCTAGGTACTGGTTTGCATAATGTTGCATTGGTTAGCCACATCCAGTTTTCATCTCTGGGATCATTTTCATCCTTGATCTCCCACTGTTGCCACTTCAATCCTTGACACCTGTAACAAAATTAAATGATTGCTTAGGTCCTTGTGAGGCCTAGCTTCGTGAGGTTAGCCAACTTTGGTGTACTAATATTGTTTGATTTTCTTCAGTTAAACAAAAATAAGTGTTGGGATGTTTCCCCAATTGATCAATTACACCTTTTGTTACTTCTTCTTCTTTGGGTAGGTGTATCCACACTTTATCACCCTTTTTATACTTATATGTCCACACTAGAAACTCTTTCTTTTCGTGTTTCAACCACATGGTTTTATCATTATTGCACTGAATTAAGGTGGCATGCAATACTGCATCCCAGTTTTTAAAGAAATTGATTTTAAATTTGTTTTCAATTGTGTCTTCAAAATACCAATGTGTCTTTCCACAACCCCATTAGATTGTGGATGATAAGGAGTGTGCACATGGTGTTCTATATTATTAATTTGGGATTTTTCTTCATTTCTTCCTCCTGCACTATGTTTCCTAGCTGATCAGCTACTTCCCAGGGTGTTTGTCCCACCAACGGGAGTAGCCAGGCTTTTACTCCTGGAGTTTTCAGAACATTTGATGCTACCTCTAACGACATCCTGTTGCAAGTTATTTGTTCAGGAGTGGTGATAAACAAACAATCATTCCTTAATCTCTGTTGTACTGCCGATAGGGTGTTTGGGGGTGCTGTCCAATGGGCAAAACTAATTCCCCATATTATATACCTGATGCTATTCATACCCCCTTCTAAATTTTGGGGAAAGCTTAGAGCTCCCAAATGATTTTTTACCCCGGTGGCAATTAATCCAGCTAAAGTTATGGGATACATGCCTCCCGGAATTATATTCATGGTATTTGTGAGAATTGCCCCCTTACTCCATCCCGAATTTCTTATTAGTGGAAGGGCCTCCTCTGAACTTAATAGGATTCCTATTCCAGTTTCTTCCTCTATAATCCTTCCTACCCACACGTAGCAATTTTCATTAGTACGTCGTGCTGTTCTCCTAGCCAAATCCTCTATTTCCTCCCTGTTCCTTTCTCTATAGATATTCTGCCTAACTGCAGGATTTGTGCCTTGTTGTTTCCAACTAGTAGTTACTATAGGACATGCCTCCAGTACTGGCTCTGCTCTACCCTTAGCTATCAATCAGCAAGTCACAACGAAGAAGTCTTTCAAACAAACTCCATTTTTATATCACCCAAAAACAGGATTCTGAAAGACTTTTTTTCTTCCTTCTAGAGAAATGTATACTGTTAGGAAGTCAGAACAGCAGGAGCCACCTCTGGGATAATATTTGATGGAACTGCTTACAACACATTGCAACAAGCCTCTTATTATTCCTTCTTCAAGAGTCCTGCAGAGCAGATGTCTATGATACATTACAATAGCAGAGTTCTCTACACTTCATTTGGCAGCCTCATGTGGATAGCAAAGGCACTCCCTGGAAGAACTGTTTGTAACCTACTTGCAAGCTCTGGCTATATGGAAAATGGCACCGGACTACATTCAGAAATACAGCACTACTAGAATACACCAGCATCCAAATGCATTTCAGCTTCTAAATAATACGTTCAGAGCACTCACTTTTAAGGCATATGCATATTTTCCCCATTTAACGTGGAAGTATATAACTTTGTCTCTAGTGGGTTATGGAATAGAGAAAATCCCACACAATTTACTGATTCGTTTTGATGCGCTGGCTGGGGGAGTAGTTAGCTGATTGCACGATTTCACAATGATTACACACTTAATTTATACAACACAATTTTATTTTAAAACTCTTTGCTACGTATATAACACTGCTTAGCTTTAAGAAACACCACAAACATTAAAAACACAATAATTACATATATCAGAAACAATGCTCCGAATGCACTTCCTTCCCAAACAATGCTATAAGAATTAGTGTTACAAAAACAACTACAATTACAACTAAAAGTTAAATTTGAATCAATACTGTTATTTTTCATAATATACTTACAATCCTAGAATTCCGAGAAGCCAAATACCAAAATATGGTTTCATTCCTCAGTAGTACGATTTAATGGGTTGGCCTCAGTAGTACGGTTCAATGGGCTGGCCTCAGCAATACGATTCAATGAGCTGGGCTCAGCAGTGATAGGACTACGTCCCCTTCCTTCAGTCCCTTTCGGGCGCTCCGCGGCTTCAGCGTGAACTAAGGGATTCGTGTTCACGGAGAGGCTTGATTAGGTGATCAATCTAATCCGACCTTATACTTGCGATTCTTCCTTCGTTGTTCTGCAAGTGAAGTCACCTCCAAATTGGGACAGTAAGTTACAGGTTTTTATTGAGTGAGCTGCCGTCATTGGGCTCCTCCTACTCAATTTATCATACCTCCCAAATTTGGGCTCGGATCTTACTCAACAGAAATTACCTTTGTTGAGCATTTTAAATTATTCTTGGGGAGACTTCCATAGCACTGTAAATACTTTTTTTTTTTTTTACCAGTCTGGTTAAAAGGCCTTAGGCTTTGATGTCTCGGAATTTAGGACATTTGTTTTCTTTGTAAAAAACTTCTAAAGATACAATTTAAATTAAGACTTTAAGTGAAGTCAGGACATTTCGCACGTAGCTCCAAAACAATGAGCTAGATAAGGAGATAAATCCTATCTTCTTCCTGAAACTGGCTAATGGGCAACCTTTACAAACATTCAAACTATTTCATTCAATATGACACACAGGTTTTATCAAAGTGGATTAGAATATGCCTTAAAACCTGTTATAACTTATTCTGGGCTTCTGGGGCTCACTCCACTGCCTCATGCCTTTGTAGTATTTCTGTCATGTAAATCTATCGGACTGCTGCCTGTCAGCACTGCCTCTTCACTGGCATTTGTATGTGAGGTTTATCTTGGGAAGGTGGTCTGGTAGTCCTTACTGTCTGCTTCAGAGTTTGCTGCTGGTTAAGTTCCAGCAATATGCAGAGATAATTCTTAAAGAAAAGTAACTTCTTACTAGTAACTATAGCTGTTTTTTTTAATATATTGCCTCTGCATAATTAGACCTTCCACTCCTGCTGGGAGTCTGCTACAATTGGAAGCTATAAATTTCTAGAAAGAACATCACTGGTTGAAGTTGCAAAATACTTTTATACTTTTATAACTGAATGTTTGGTAGTGTATTAGGGGAGAGAGGGGGTTCTCAAAGCTCAGAAATATCAGGGCGTATATCCCCAAAACGATAAATGTCCAGGAACAGTGCAGTCACATACTACAGTTAACGAGTTACCTGTCCTTATTAAGGCTATAACAGTATGATTCTGTGCACATTAAACATTGTCATTCATATTTATCCATCTGATAGTCTCATGTTATAATGGAAACTAAACTTACTTTACTTGTTTTATTTACTAGAAAATAGCAGTGTGAAAATAACACCCACAGGAACCCTAATATTCAGACATTTCAAATACGACATGAGTGGAGTTTATACCTGTTCCATTGTATATAAACCAACTGCAGAGCAGAGTGAAAAAAACTACTTAATCAAATATGTGATTTATGGTAAGATGTCAGAACAGATCAGTGCATTTTTATGTTGTAAATGTTCTTTCTTTTTTTGTTTTTAAATGGTATGTCAATATTTTGAAAACATATTAATTCATTAATTTAATTGGGAGTTAAAGGCATTTAGTGTATTTTAATAAACTGTGTTTAATAAGAGTCAGCTATCAGGGAATTCATTGAATGTAATTTACAGTCATAGAAAAAGTTCTTGCTTTTTGACTGAGAAATTTTAAGTATAGCTCTGTTTTATAAAAGGAGACACAAAACATAATTGGAAAATAGAAATCTGAAAAACTGGGTACCTGGACATCCTTAAACACCATGCAAAATAGTCTCATTTCATATTGAAATATCATAGAATCATACATAAGTAGGGCTGGAAGGGACCTCCATAAGTTATTTAAACCCCTGCCTAATTTCCGTCATTAATTCAGGATTATCCTAAACCATCCTATACAAATCCCCCGTCTAACCTCTTAGCAAAACTACAGTGAACCCTGACACAACCTCGATCCTGGGCAAGCTGTTCGAGAAAATTATTCTGGCACACATCCAGGAGGGGCCAGCAGGGAAATGCATGCTCAGGGGCAACCAGCACGGGTTCATCAGCGGCAGGTCATGTCAGACCAACCTGGTGGCCTTCTACGATCAGGTCACTAAATCACTGGATGCAGGGGTAGCAGTGAATATAGTCTTCCTGGACTTCCGGAAGGCTTTCAACACTGTCTCTCACCCCGTTCTCATTAGGAAACTGGGGGACTGTGGCGTAGACACCCACACAGTCCAATGGGTCGCCAACTGGCTAGAGAGCCACACCCAGAGGGTGGTAGTGGATGGGTCCTTCTCGGCCTGGAAGGACGTGGGCAGTGGGGTCCCTCAGGGCTCGGTCCTCGGGCCCGCCCTGTTCAACATCTTCATCAGTGATTTGGATGAGGGGGTGCAAAGCACCCTGTTCAAATTTGCTGATGACACCAAGATGTGGGGGGATGTGGGCACAATAGAAGGGAGCAACAGGCTACAGTTGGACCTTGACAGGTTACAAGGATGGGCGGAGGAGAACAGGATGGGGTTCAACACAGACAAGTGCAAGGTGATGCACTTGGGGAGGAGCAACCGGCACCATACCTACAGGCTGGGGAAATCCCCTCTTGTCAGCACGGAGGTGGAAAAGGATCTTGGAGTCATTATTGACTCCAAGATGAACATGGCTCAGCAGTGTGGGGAGGCGCCTAGGAAGGCCAACTGTACCTTGTCGTGCATCCACAGATGCATTTCAAGCAGGACCAAGGAGGTGATCCCCCCCCTCTATGCGGCACTGGTCAGGCCGCAGCTAGAGTACTGCGTCCAGTTCTGGGAGCTGCACTTTAAGAGGGATGTGGACAGCATCGAGAGGGTCCAGAGGAGGGCCACTCGCATGATCAAGGGACAGCAGGGCAGGTCCTATGAGGAAAGGTTACGGGACCTGAACCTGTTCAGCCTCCAGAAGAGAAGGCTGAGGGGGGAATCTTGTGGCCTGCTATAAACTAGTCAGGGGGGATCAACAGGCACTGGGGGAGTCCCTGTCCCCCC